ATCAGGGATATTGGCCTGTAATTTTCTTTCTTTGCAGTATCTTTATCTGGTTTTGGAATTAGGCTAATGCTGGCCTCGTAAAAGGAGTTTGGAAATATACCTTCCTCTTGGATTTTTTGAAATAGTTTGAGGAGGATAGGTGTTAATTCTTCTTTGAATGTTTGGTAAAACTCCCCTGTGAAGCCATCTGGGCCAGGGCTTTTTTGTGCTGGGAGCCCTTGGATTACTGCTTCAACTTCACCAGCAGTTATCAGCCTATTTAGACTTTCTCACTCTTCGTGATTGAGTTTTGAAAGGTTGTATTTTTCTAGGAATTCATCCATTTCATCCAGGTTGTCTAGCTTGGTCGCATATAGTTGTTTATAGTTTTTTCTTACAATCCTTTGTATTTTTGTTGGGTCAGTTATTTCACCTTTTTCATTTCTGATTTTGTTAATTTGGGTCCTCTCTCTTTGTTTCTTGATGAGTCTGGCTAAAGGTTCATCAATCATCTTTTATCTTTTCAAAGAACCAGCTCTTGGTTTCATTGATCTTTTGTAATTTTTTTTAGTCTTTATGTCATTTATTTCTCCTCTAATCTTTATTATTTCTTTCCTTCTACTTACTCTGGGCTTTTCTTGTTGTTTCCTTTCTAAGTTTTTGAGTTGTAGGATTAAAGAGTCTATTCGAAGTTTTTCTTGTGTTTTTGAGGTAGGCTTGTAGTGCTATAAACTTCCCTCTCAGGACTGCTTTCATTGTGTCCCATGGATTTGGAGTTGTTGTGTGTTTATTTTCATTTGCTTCCAGGAAGTTTTTTATTTCTTTCTTGATCTCTTTGGTAACCCATTCATTGTTTAAAAACATGCTTTTCAGTCTCCATGTGTTTAAAAGTCTTTTAGTGTTTTTATTGTAGTTGATTTCTAGTTTCATGCCATCGTGATCCGAGAAGATGCTTGATACGATTTCAATCTTCTTGAACTTATAGAGACTTGTTTTGTGTCCTAACATGTGGTCTATCTTTGAGAATGTCCCGTGTGCACTTGAAAATAATGTATATTTTGCAGCTTTGGGGTAGCATGTTCTGTAAATGTTGATTAAATCCATCTGATTTAGGGTCACTGTTTCCTTGTTGATTTTTTTGTCTGGAAGATCTATCCAGTGCAGTCAATGGGCTGTTAAAGTCCCCGAGTATAACTGTGTTCCTGTTGATTTCTCCCTTAAATCCTCTAGAAGTTTCTTTATAAATTTAGGTGCTTCTGTATTGGGTACATATACATTTATCAGGGTTATATCCTCTTCCTGGATTGATCCCTTTAGTATTATGTAATGACCTTTCTTATCTCTTGTTATGGTCTTCATTCTGAAGTCTATTTTGTCTGATACGAGTATTGCTACCCCATCTTTTTTTTCATTTCCATTTGCATGGAAAATTTTTTTCCATCCCTTCACTCTCATCCTGTATGAGTCTTTTGTTCTGAGGTGGGTCTCTCGTAAACAGCATATAGTCGGGTCATGTTTTCTTATCCATTCAGCCATCCTAGATCTCTTTATTGGGGCATTTAATCCATTTACATTTAAGGTTATTATTGAAAGATACTTATCTACTGACATTTTGTTTCTTCATGGCTGTTTCTCATTCTCTTTATTGCTACGTCTAATTATAGCAGTACCTTTAACATTTCCTCTAATGCTGCTTTTGTAGCTTTTGTAGTGATAAAGTCTTTTAACCTTTTTTGTCTCGGAAGCTCTTTATTTTACCATCCAGCTTGATTGATAATCTTGCTGGATAGAGTAGTCTTGGTTTCAGATCCTTCTTTTGCATTACCTTAAATACTTCATGCCATTC